AAATGGCATTTTGCGTTGGATCACTATAAATGACTTATCACTTCTCAAATTGTTGCCACCAAATATTATCGCCCTGTATTATATTTAAAGAAGTTAAATAATGAAGAATCTGCAGGAATGTGTGTATGTTTCTCGCATTGTGAAAAGCAACGGTACTTAGTCATTAAATTTTGAACAACATAGTCTTCCACTCGAATATGGGCACCCGGAAGCCCGAAAATTGAATTTGTTTTGTTATCTATTTCTATCTTCTAAAACTTTACCATTTTGATTAACAGACTCACGATCAAGCGAGCAGTGAGAACACTGTAGCAGAGGGCGTGGATTATCTTCACGCACAGACTGGTATCGAAATATGGAAAATCAACATATCTTTTTTAATATTTTGTATTTGCTGTTGATCGAATTTTATGTGGCTACGCAAAGAACATACATTTAATGGTACTTTTCCGTTTTGCAGCGCAAATCTCGCCAATCAGACTTTGTTGGCGACAGTGTACACATAAAAATTTTACAAATGTTAGTTCTAAGATTCTTTATTTGATATGGTTTGATTTAATTGATTTAAAATTTTGCAAAAGCCATAAATTTGTAAAAAGACATTAATTTAAGAATTTAGTATGCTCTCATAATTCAACATCCTGATTCGCCGGTTCTTATCACGTTACCCATTTGATTTCATCTCGCGTAAACTACGCTACAAAAATATAATTCTCTCTGTAATTATCTACATTAATTTCAAGTTAAATCTTAATATAGAATACAAATTTAAATGCAAGAATTATTTCAATTCGTACGAATAGCTTACGCAGAAATTATGTAAAACCGCAGTGCTTTACTTCGCTAGGGCATTCTCATTAGAATTTAATAATTTTACCCTTGACTTTGCCTTTTCTATATTTTCGCCTTCCGGTGAGCGGTGCGATTGCATCCTAATTGACTTAATTACTGCGAATGGTCTTAGGGCATAAAATTTAACTATTTTGTAAAAATTCTAGGTAATTGTATGCCAATATTGAAAGAAACAATCAATATGATAAGAAATGGCTGCGACTTGTTTTGAAAATGAAGCGTAAAAGATTACCAGCGAAGATATTCCGTCTGGCATCAGTTGTACCATTATTGGCGACTTTATCGTTTGCGCCGGCAAAACGGAAAAGTACCCATTTAATAAATAAAGTAAAAATACAAAATATTCATAATAAAAAGGCAGAAAAAAAGTTTTAAGCCATCTTAATAAGAAAACTGAACATTGTTATGACGAACTGAGAAAAGATGGAAAAAAACAGAAAAATGTATGTCAACACTTAACGGTGCATATGGAATTCTAAACGTATATTGCTATGCCGCTTTTAAAATTTTTGTAATTTTGCTGTTGTATTGTATATGGCGTAAGTGCGAAGAATTTAATGCTTGATAATAGTAAAGCTAAAAATACAGCAACAAAACAAAAAAAGGAGCTAGTAGAAGCGAATGTAACAGCAAACTGCTAGACTACGATCTCAGCGATAAAGTAAAAACCTTAAGGTACCTTTTTGGGTGACCGATAAAATTTAAAATGTTTCAGATTTGTTTTTAATTAATATTTTTTTCGGGATTATCTCTATCTCCTTTATACAGAGAACTATTTTCTGAAGAAAGGTATATGCGCCAACATCGCTTAGTAGCTAGCGTTAAATTAAATGTATTGTTCACATCTCATTTACTGTTTGCAACAGAGCAGATACGACTACTTTCTGGAACTTCAAAATACCCTTTTATTATATCTGTTAGAAAAGTGTTCTTATTTTCGAAATAAGTATAGAAAATATTTCTGTTACTTCGTTTGCCGAAATAACTAACCTAAGAGCGAGATTTATTTATGTTTAGAAGAATTTTACCGCAGTCGACATCAGCTAATGTCGAAATTGTTTCTTCGTTGGATGTATCAAGTTGGCTCGTCTATCTTTCTACAGAAAATTATTTGGCGCGTTTTGTCATATAACGGAGAAAGGTACTATTCGGTTTCGAGGGCCATAAAAAATCGCCAAACTATTGTTGATGCCAATGATGCCAAAAATAATTGCGGCAAGAAAGGAAGTATAATAGTAAATAACTATTTAAGATTAATGTTTTAATTTAGATGAAAGGTTAATTTCATATAATACTTTTTTATTATTATAATTTATATGAAAAAAGCCTAAACATGAACTGAATGGAAGCATAAGAGGTAAATAACTATTTCAGATCATTGTTATAATTTATATAAAAAATTGGCTAAACATTAACTGAATGGATGCCTGCTATCGCTATTTCGCTATCGACTTATCGCTAAAGCATAATTTCATCTCGTTGGTTGTTCAAACGTAATTTTCTATAATGAATGATGCCTTTTCTTTGAAAATATTCAGAATCGGAATTCAGAAGTGCAGAATCGCTCAGTTATTTGTTTGCCTCTTTTTACAAGGGTAAAAACAATTGGATTTTTGTCAATTTTACTTTTTAAATGAAAATAGGTCGATGTGTACATACATAAAGGGGGTGCGCAGTGCCATTTTTGTGCAATTCTGGGATTTTTTTTAAGTGAAAATAGGTCGATGTGCACATGGATACCGAGTATGTGCAATTCTTAAAAACGCGTCAAGCAGTGAGTGATTCTGCACTTTACCCAAAATTCTATTGCTAACTTTTCATCATGGGCAATTCCCAAATTGTTAAATCCATAGGATTTAAAAATTAAACTAGTATTTCAATGGCGTCTTAAAGAATATAGAACTATATAAACTTAACGCAATCTGAAACCAGCGCGTACGCTAGATTTGGCGCGCTGTTAAAAGGGCGCGTGTGCTAGATTTGGCGCTTTTGCGCCTACATTTTAACTGCAATTTTTTTACGACCCTCAAATCAGAAGAGAGCCCGGAAAAGTTACCTTTTGCCTTTAATATAAGTTTTTTTTTTTTTTTTTCTTTTTTTTTGGTGTGTGTGTTTGTGTGTGGGGAGAGGACACAGTATTTACGCAAGTATTTCAAAAATGCTATTAGGATTTTTTTTTTTCTAAATAATGACTAATAAATATTTTTTAAAATTCTGGAATCATTTTCTGAAATTACAAATCTTTAAGATTTAAATATTATTTTATTCCTTTTATAACTTTGATTTACTTTGGTCTGAAAATTCGAGACCGATAACGTGTGATTGTTTTTTATAAAACAAGAATTCAGTTTTTGTGTTCACTGGATTCGTTGTGAAAATGAAAAAATATGCATTTTCTGTAGGTTTTTTTTAAATGCATAAAATTAATAGCCACAAAAACTTTACATTTCAATAGCAGTTAGAGACAAATTATAAATGTACACAATTTTTTGATGCGTATTCTAATTTACTGAAAATTGATTTTCAATTTCATGTGTATGAAATGTGTAGTGTAATTTTTATCGCGATTAATGAATGACATATGGCAAATTTTGATATTTTTCTTGTTTTCGTGGAAATGTAATTAACTTTGATGTTAAAAAACACCCAAGTGCAAGACTTGTCTCATATTTATTTTGTATATAGTATGAATATATGTTTATTGTTACCTAGATTGGTTTATTTAATTTTGGCAAAGTACTCAAGTGCTATTTGCGTAAGAGGAAGGATACTTTCGTACAGGGCCCACAAGCGGCCGAGCGGTAAAGTCGCTGAACACTGGTGGTTCGGTCCGGGCGCCGGCCATATGTTTCGCTAAACTCGCCAAGAGATTGGTTCATATGGAGTCGCCAGTGTTTACTTCTAAAGTCGTTACAGTGTTAATTTTTTAAGAAAAAGTAAAAGAATGTCTTGTCAAAATTTGCAGCAAGAATCCAAATTCCAAAGATTACAACGGTCACTTGTGTTTTTATTATTATTGTATTTACCATGGATATGAAAATTTGGACTTGCCTAATGATGAAATATCTTCCATGCAATTTCTTCAGGAACGAGGAGTTATTCAGTCTGGAAAAAAGTGCACGAAAAACCATAAAATAATTTTTTTTTTGGCGAGTTCTTTAATTTAGATTAAAAATATCTAATTTTACGAACATCCGTTGTTATTTTTCCCCTCGGATTTTTCTTCAACTTAACCATATCTTATTTATTGTAATTTAAATATTTTAGCGTTTATTTTCATGCTTCGAATTTTTCGCCAGATCGTCAGCTTTTGTCGATATCTGAATCCGGTCCCGATAACAAAACAGTACCTGATTATGTTTTGATTCTGGTAAAGTTTGATTCGTTGGAGAAAAATTACTAGAAATGATCTTCACCACAGATTGAAGACCTTCACCACGGCACCTCTCCCCCCCCCATGTGTAACGTGTATACAAGGCAGTTTACTTTAGGAGTCTTCCACGAAAGCATTCCTCCCCTTAGTCCGATAGCCCCGAGTGCTTTGCCCTAATTAAATAAACAGCCTTCATCAAGGGGTTTTCTGAGAGGAACTGGTTCATATATACACGTCACACGTGGGTAAAAGCGCGAAAACGCCTATGCAGCCAGACCGTTCGCCAGGATACGAACCTCGGACCGACCTACCAGTGTTCAGCGCCTTTACTTCTCGGCCGCTATCAGGCGTTGTTATTTAAAACTAAAGTTGAAAATCCATCAAGTCTTTTTTATATGTTAATTTTGCCAATTTTATATTTTGTTTCATTCCGTGTTGTTTTTATTCGAATGTTTTTCTTACGGAGAAATGTGATTGATGCCTTTAAAGTAATACTAGATCAAAATTCAAGACTTGTCTAATGTTGAAAGTTATTTTAGTTGTTTAGTTTGTTGTTATAGCACCTGGAAATCCTTTGCGATATTTCTGAATATCATTGTTATCGATGTGGATATTATAATTTATTTCATTCCTCACTTTTTTCTTAAAATAATTTTCTTCTGATTTTGTAATTGCTACAATATCTGTCATACTTTCATTGTTTGTGTTTAGATATCTTCGAGAAAAGGTTTTGGTTCAGTTGATTCTGGCAAAGCACACTAAGGCTCTCTGCCTAAGGGACGCCCATGCAGCCTGCCCGTTCGCGGGATTCGAACCTCGGTCCGAACTACCAGTGTTCAGCGGCTTTTACCGTAACAACAAGTCAAGAGGTTAACCAGAAATTTCGAAATATTTTGTTAAGTTTCCCAAAAAGGTAACAAAAGATTTTTTTTTTTTTTTTCTTTCCCCGTGTGATTCTATGGCTTTGGTTTTCCAGCCATCATATGTTACCTATCATAACAGAGGGAGAAATCTCAAGCTTTGGCCAAACTTAGCAAAACTATAATGACAGCAGTGTCAGTCGCGTATAAGCAGGTGACCGTATGTTTCTTCATCCCCTTAATGTGCGTATTTAACCTGTACTCTATCTAAGTGTGAAAGGTGACCTGGCGCAATGCCATTTTGAGGTTTGGTTTAGTTAATGTGATTAAGGGGAGAGATGCTTTCGTGGAGAACTTTCTAAGAGAAACTGACTCATATTCACATTACGCATGCGGAAAACCATCAAAATGCCCATGCAGCCAGCTCGTTCGCCTGGACTCGAACCCAGGTCGGAACTACCATCGTTCAACGATTTTACCGCGCGGCCGCTCGTGGGTCATGACTGGTTTGGTTTATTTAATTATGGGAAAGCATACTAGGGCTATCTGCCTAAGCGGAGGGATGCCTTCGTGGAGGACTTTCTAAGGGAAACTGGCTCGTATCCACGTTACACATGGGTAAAACCACGAAAACCCCCATGCAGCGAGCCCGTACGCGGGATTCGAACCTCGGACCGAACTACCAGTGTTCAGCGACTTTACCGCTCGGCCGCTGGTGGGCCTGGTGGGCCATGGCAGTGCAGGGAGTGTCAGCAGTGTAAACATTTCTGCAAAAGATTGTAATTTGAGTTAATGGCTAACTTTTAAAGGTGTGGAAAAGAGAATTAAGGTGAGTGGCCTGAAAAAGAAGTTTCCTGAAAAAGGAGTGAGTAACAAAGTGTTAAAAATGAAATTTTGATTAATGTTTAAATTCCTTTTAAGAATTTTTCTTCGAGCTCATCAAATAAAAATGACGAAAAATCGTCCGGTGATAGTAATCGTTTGAAAAGCTAATGATTTGCTGAAATATTCATTCATGCATTTCAAGTCAAATATTTGTTCAGCAGAGCTAGACGATGAGTAGATTATAGAAATTTCATGCATAATTTGTAGATATTTGGCTTTAAACCATGCATTATCAAAATGTATTTGCTTAATATCCGCTTTTTAAGGAAGCGCTATTTTTTTTATCATGTATTTCTTTCAAGGTGGCTGTCAAAAATATTTTGCACGAGAATAAGCTGAATTTTTTATACGTCTGGTTTCATGTCAGAATCTTATGGAACATTTATTATTAGTCCAAAGGGGCAATTTGTCCAGAAGGACTATTAATTTCGCTTTGGCATTTTGCTTCGGTTCCCTTTTCAAATTGTTGCCACCAAATATTAGAGCCATACATTTAAAGAAATTAAATAATGAAGAATCTGCATGAATGTATATATGTTTCTCGCGTTGGGATAAAACGACGGTACCTAGACCCATCAAATTTTGAATAACGTACGTCTCCAACGGAATATGGGCATCTGGGAGCCCAAATTTGAAATTTGCTTTATTACCTATTTCATAGTTTGTAAAGCATTTATGAGTTTCTGATTAAGAATCTTAACGATTTGAAAGCGAGCAATGGCCACACTCTGCATGGGGAAAAATACATTTTTATATCCTGCGCGCGAGACTGTGTGTATTCGACTACTGGTGACCACCAGTAGCCGAATTGCTAAAGACTGCTAAATATCGACATTTCGTCCCGAGTTCGAACCCATGCAAACGGGCTAGTTCCATGGTTGGCTTTCCTGAGTTTCCCCATGTGTTGTAACATGAATACTAGACAGTTTCATTTAGGAAGTCATCCACGAAGGCATTCTTCTCCTCAGGCAGATAGCTCTCGTATGCTTTTCCACATCCATACAACCAAATCTTCCGGTTTTTAATTTTTAGCTTTTATTTTTTAGCTTTTATTTTTTAGCTTTTATTTTTTAGCTTTTATTTTTAGCTTTTATTTTTAGCTTTTTCATACACGAATCCACAACATTAAAACCTTCGCAATCGATAAACAACGGCCATTTCATTATCGATGACAAAAGTCTGCCTATCGATAGTAAAAGGAAAGTCTGGGCCATCCGAAAAAGCGGCGACCAATCCAAACACGCGTTACTCAGGATTCCTAGTTCTCTCTCTCGAAGTAAGTTGAACCTTCCTTTTTAATACTGTCTCTTACTCATTTGCATTCAACGCTATTCTAAAAACTCATTCTGGTAAAGAGTTGTAAGTTGTAGCAAGGAACGATAGGAAATGTTAACTAAATTAAAATAACTGTTATGAAGTTAAAATATATCTTACTAGCGTACCTATAAAAATAACTGAAAATATTAAGGGTGGTGAAATTAGTTGTTCCCACATAAGTGTAAAAATGTTTATGTACATTACTATACCTGTATTAAATGTTTCTTTTTATTTCACTTGCAAGGCGGCAGTGGCGTAGCTAGGATTCCAGCGCCCGGGGACAATTGAAGAATTTCCGCCCTTTTCCGCCCTTTTCTGTGTGCCAAGAATGGAAAACATTTCATTAAAAATTTCGTAACATCAATTGGGCGCCGCCTGGATGCTGCGCCCGGGGATACAGGACTAAAGACTATTTATCCCTGCCGGGGACAGATGTCCCTCCTTGCCCCACCCTAGCTACGCCACTGCAAGGCGGTACTCTATTTTACTCGGGAGCAGAAAAATGTACTCATTTAACTCCTATCTGCTTGTTATCACCTTTCCTTTCAATGTCCGATCAAAGATAAAAAAGAAATCCCAGCAAGATGCGTGCTTTGTAGCGGTTTTCACGCCGCTACAAGTATTGATTGTCCGGAGCATCCAAGTAAAAAATTCTTACAAAAACAGAAAATTCCTCAAAAAGATGACTTCCCTAACTTCAATAAACAAAACCCAGAACCGATCATAGAAAATAACAATAAGAAAACTTATGCGAATGTTGCAGCACCCAAAGAAAAAGAAATAGAAAAAACCAAACTATCAGATGTCAAAAACTTAGACGAATTTAAATCCCTCATATTCAAATTAAAAGACCTCTACCACAAATTCACCAAAGTATCCAACGAAAACGAGAAGCTAGATTTCGCCCTCCAGGCACTGGAACTATTCGTATAAGCACTTTTTAGCGCTTACTTGAGCAGATGATGACGTAGCCGAGTGGTACGGACCTTGGATCATCTTGCCCAACGAGATCGCAGATATATTTTATCTTCTCCTTATTTAATCCAGAATTTTTCTATTACTTGTATTTTATTTTTAAAAATTACTGCTTATTTTTATGTGAATTTATATTTTTCTACAAATTTTTTAATATGTACAGTTATTTTGTAACTGAAGATTACAGCACCAGAATTTTGACATAGATTATTGCCAAAACAGCTTTTATTAAAGCTTTCACGATTATACCATGAAGTCTTCGATGAGAATTGAGAATTATATTAGTAGGAGCCCCAAGGCTGATACTTCTTATAAGTTTGAGGATCAAGGATCAAGGATGTATCAAACATGGACAGGCAGCCGATGAGGATCAGGGTGGAAGTTCATTCATCGAAAGTGAACCCATGTCGGACATGTCAACCAGAAGAGAGTAAACAAAATGACAAGAGAAGAGCTGAAGGGGTGAGGAGGCACTTCATTACAACAACCCGCACGTTCCAAACAATTGGTCTTGCCAAGGGCAGGCAATACGAAACGTTCGGGGAGAACTTGCAGGGTCAGCTACGGTGTGGGCACACAACAGGTCTGACGAGAAAAGACAGTAAGGTATTTTATGAGGTCATCCGAGGCGGATGAGAGCGACGATGCCGTGAGAAATGTGGTTCGTCGAGAAGACCCGCGAGGAGGGTCATTCTGGCGCTTCTTCGTGAAGTGATGACGTCTTTACTGGAAACATCTTTAAGTTAAAATGTTCAACTGTTGAGAAATAATGGAAAACAATTGCCATATATTATCCTTTTCGAATTAACAGTTAGAACACCTGTCTAAACTGTTGATTTCTATCTCCCAATCCCCGCTTTCCTGGCTATTATTCGTCATGCATATTATTTATAAGACTGGTGGATTCCGGACACAGTATTGACGATCAGATCCATGCAGGGCTTAATATCTAAAATTAGAAGATTGTCAGAAAAGAAAAAGAATAAATAAATAATTAAAAAACTGAAAGGTTTCAGATTTTAAATTACGTCCAAAGGGGCGTTTTTTTTTTAACGTTTTCTGTGTTATTTTTATTTATTAAATATCATATTCTTCGCACTTACCATACATACAATTCAGTTCAACAGCCATATCGCGAAATAATTTTAAAATGAGCATATCTGTAACATTTCCGATACACAGTTCCGCGCGCTGGAGATAAACAAAGTTTTTTTCCTTTCTTCCGTAGAGTGTTGCTATTGCTCGCTTTTAAATCGTTGAGTTTGCTAATCAAAAATTTGATAAAAGTTTTAGAAAATATGAAATAGATAACAAAACAAATTCCAAATTTAACCTTCCAGATGCCCATACTCGAGTGGAAACATACGTTATTCAAAATTGGATGACTCTAAGCACCGTTGTTTTATCACAATGCGAGAAACATCCATCCATTCATACAGATTCTTCATTATTTAATTTCTTTAAATATAATACTAGGCGATAGTATTCGGTGGCAACAATTTGAAAAGTGAATCGGACATTTCTAGTGAACCAACGCAAAATGCCAAAACGAAAATAATAGTTCTTCAGGGCAAATTGCTCCTATGTAGGTGGTGAACTAATTAATAATTAATGATTGGAATGATTAAAAAATAAATTTTAATAAAATGTAAAGATAAAAATATAATAAATTATTAAGTAAATGATAAATAATTAAATATGAAAATAAAATCAGGGACTCTGACTTATTTGGGGTTTTTGGCTGGAATTAAATTTTTACACAAAAAATAAGAAATAGCTTAACCGGTTTAAGCTCTAAATATAACGTAATACTTCAAAGGATGATAGAAATGAAGACTATTCTTTTCCCAGCTCACCAATGAAAAAAATGTTAAAA